AAACCTTCAAAACCCGACATTACATCCTACAGCCAGACAAAACACTAATTGCCTGTCAAGGCTGCAATTTAAAAAACTGATCCTATATTTGAAGAACCTGAGAACGAAATAAATATTACTGACTCCATATTAGAAAAACCAACAAATCAGCTTCCAGAAAACCTTGAAAATATGTCTAATCCATATTTTACTAATTTTACTGAAATGTGTTTTTTTACTTGGGTGACTAAGCACTCTATTTGTAAGTTCTGTAATCTAATAATAATTTGTTTTTCTTTTATACACAGTATTTATTTTAGCTAACTTAATCTCTAGCAACTGCAGCCTATCAGGAACTTGTGGCTATTATTTCAAATAGTCAATTCAACCCTCTTGAAATGCTGCGAAACATACGTTCATTGAAGCGATATCGGCTAAGACTACCTAGTCTTCCGATTCATCAACATAAAGTTTGCATAAATATTCACAAATCACCCTCTAAATCGTTATCATTCAAAAATGCATATACGTTATCGATAATTGACCATATACAACAAGTCCTTAAAAATCTCAAACTTTTCTCCAAGATGTATTTCGGTCCCGGAGTTGAAGGTGAAGAAAGAAAAGAATTCTGGCATGGATCAATTTGGTCTGAATCCCCACTGTTTAGTGACGATACGCTAAAAGTCACATCTTCAGGTATTTGTAGTTAAATTTATTGAAGCTAAAACTTCAGCAACTTCCAAAAGATAAATAATATTAGGCCATGGAAAGTTTATTTTCCATTTTTCATTGTTTAATGTTCCAAAATTACTAGCGGGGGCCGGATTTTTTTATTTAATTTTTTTTATTATTGGTTATTAATCTAAATTAATTGATTTTATCTAATTTATAATACAACAAGAGTCTTTCAATATAAAATAAAAAACTCTTTCCCGTAGATCCCAATTTTAATAGAAAATAAAAATCGATACAACAAAATTCTAAAAGCAAGAGGACTAGCACGTTTACTTTATAACTAT